AAGGGAGTAATCAGGAGGACAGTAGATAGCGATTGACACTGCATTTAAATTTTTGTAGATTAAAGTTAAATGGAAAGCATGGAGCTGGAAGGGAGTTCCATAAGCAAGAAGTGTGAGAGAAGTAACTGTTAGCATAGAATTTATGGTTACATCTAGCCAGGTCAACTGTAAATTGATGAGATCTCGGTGCCAGTCTCGTGTTCTGCTTAAATTCAAAAAGTTTAGGTACCATAGCAAAGAATTCATCCGAACAATTACAATGAAAGTATTTATAGAAAAGACAGAGAGGCACCCTTATGGAGGTAGGAAAGTGATTGGAGCTGAGCCACCAGATCAGGACCAATAATATTGCTGATTCTTCTTTGGATCTTGTCAAGGAGCTCCAGGTAAATAGTAAGAGCACTGGACCATATGTGTCAGCAATATTCTAAGCGTGGACAAATGGTAGACTTACAGATCTGTAAGATAGAAGGTGGAGAGAAAAATTGTCTCGCCTGACATAGTGAACCAACTTAAATGCCATCAAATATCAATTCATCACTTTTTTAAAGCTTTGATTTAAATAAAGAAAAAAAAATTCTTCCTTATGCCAATAGCTACAATTTCTTTTGTCATCCGTAAGCTAGCAACACCTTTAGCTTATAGAAACATGAATAAACACAAACATGGATTTATAGAACAAACAATAATAACTATATATTAGGCTTAACACTGGTGATGTGGAAAAGAAAATGGATTGGTCCCTGTCAGAGAAATAAGTTCATTGTGGGAATGTCAAGCATCAGTCATAAATCACAGGTGTAAGCTTTTGGGGGTATAATTGGTTTTAGTATGCAAAACTCATACTTAGAAATAAATCCAATTATCTATTGGTGGAGTGTTAGTTCTCATGTCAAATTCCTCGGTCAGGAGTTGTGAGTGGAAATTGCAGTGCAGACATGTCAGTCAGGGTCTATCAACGTCATTACTTTCTCCATCTGTTGCTGTACCGCTGTCTCAATGCTATTTCTCCTCTGCTTATATTGGTAGAGAATGGCTCAACTTGACCAAAATTTTAGATTCTCGATCTTCTGTCTGATTGGCTAAACGTTGAATCCTTAATTCCAATTTGCTGTTTTTTGGGGGTTTTTTTGTATTTTATAGAAACTATGCACATGCATTATTTATGTTACAACACCTAAATTATCTAATGCTTTAATCTTGAATACATAGGTCCATGCACGGAAAAATATATTTTAGGTTTTTAGAGATGCAACAATTTCATTTCTGACTAAACAAAATAAAATTTTATTACAGATTTTACTTGAAAATTTAAAATTTCTTATTTTTTCCTTTCAGGCACAATAAATGTTAAAGTTTTAGAGTAGCTACAAATATCGTTCTACCTGGCTAAGATAATGATGAAACTATGAACAAACAATTTTGCCAAGACATATGACAAAATTTATTTCATTGCTGGTTACTGATGTTTTTGTTTGTTTTATTTTTCCTAAGTTATTTTTACTTCCTAGACATTCATAAGGTTAACAAAACCAGGTAAATTGTGCTAACCTAGAAATATCACAAAAACTGTAGCTAGCAAATCATTTAATATTTGGAGTCATCGATTTTTTTGACAGCAAAAACGTTTTTTAATAAATAAAAAGGGAAATATCTCTCTTTCATATATATATATATATATATATATATATATATATATATATATATATATATATATGTGTGTGTGTGTACATATAGATAGAGTGAGAGAGAATGATAGACAGGCATAAAGTCTGTGTACTAGTTCCCACAAAATAAAAAACAGAGTACACAGAGAAAAAGGAAAAAATTAAATTAAAAAGTAAATACTGGTAATAATTTTAGTATTAATTATTTGTCCAGAGTGCATCATTTTGTACATTGGTTTTGCAAAACAATAGTAATGACTATCACTAAAAGCTCCAAGAGTAGATTTTTATTTATTTTCAAATTATTTATATATTTAAAAAAAAAAAAAAAAAAAAAAAAAAAAAAAAAAAAAAGAAAGCATAAAGAATTCAAGTTATGTATTTTTAAAAAGCCCACATACTTATTCCACTCATAAAATAAAATGTGCAAAAAAGTAATTTAAAAAATAGAAAAAAATGTATTTATATTTTATAGAATATTTAATATTGTTTTTATTTTCTTATAATATATTATCCAGGCATCTATGGGGAGAGGAACAAAAATATCAAAATACTCCATAGTTTAAAATGTTCGATGAACAAATGTCTAAAAGTTTTTGTTTTCCTGTGAATTTGATTACAATTAACTCTAAAACTGTAGGAAAATAAGGCAAGGGTGTGTTGAGGTTTTTTTTTGGGGGGGGGATATTTAACAGGTAACAGATTGTTCTCTTAACAATTAAGCGGGAATTTAAAAAAAAAAAAAAAAAAAATCAAATAATTACTAGTGAAGCTACTGCATCAAAAACCATAACACGGTGAGCAGTACCTAACTTACAGAACAAAATACACCAAGGGAACAGATTTACAGGAAAACAGCAAAGAGAGTCTTTCCAAAAGCAGACTGCCGATTCTCCTCTATCACTTTTATTGACATGACATGAGACAGTTGACAAAGAGCCAGATCTGAACAAATTGCAGAGAGGTCTGTATCTAGATATGCAAAGCTGTTCTGCTGTTAATAGGGGAAATCTGGATGCGACTAAATGTCTTCAACAAGTCCACATGCAACTCAAGAACTCTTTGTGCATCAATACTGACACATGTTCACCATAAAAAACAAATTTATGAATATAATAAAAAGCTTGTAATATCAGAAAGATTTTCTGTAAAGTTTTAAATCAAGCTTTCAAATAATTGAAGACACATGGCACAGTAGATAAAGGCATTGGTTAGATCCAATGACACGACCCAAAGAATGTGAGTTTAAATACCCGGTTAAGGCAGTGGAGAACTTTCAGAGGGAAATTAACAGGAGATAACTGACATCCATTAAACATGGCACATGGAACGAGAACAGTCTACCACAGTGAGCGAAATAAAGGGTTCAGTTCGACATTCCAACCACCTGAAGAAGGCCAGAGCATACAACAGCCAAAACATTGTAATAAATATGGCAACAAAGATGAGGACAATAATCCGAATAATGTAAATAGTGTAAATTTTTTTAATTTAACTTTAAAATTCTCAGCATCCCCGCTCCTTCATGCGCATGTGTAGTTACATTAATGTAAACAATACTTTAGTATGAAAACTTTTTTTCCACTTTGTCAGTCTTTTTCCTTAAAATAAAGCGATTTAAAAATGGCAGTCTATCTGTTTCTCACCAAAGGCATCATACCAAAATCAGGGTTGATTTTTATTTTTAAAAAAAAAAAAAAAAAAAGTTAAAATTTTATTTTATATTAAAAAAAAAAAAAAAAATTATTCAGTTGGTTAATAAATATTTGATTCAGTATGTTTCACACTTTTCTTCCTTCATGAAATTACATGAAAACCAAAAATGGTTTTAATTCTAAATATTTTGCTTTAAATAAAGATTTTTATAAAACTGATTTAAAATTTTTTTTTTAAAATCATTTGATTTAAATTGTGATTTAGATCATTGATTTAAATAGAACAATCCAGGCCAAAATGATAAAACATTTCTTGTTTCCTTCATATCACTATCTCTTGTTTTAAAAAAAAAAAAAAATCAGAATGTCTCAACAAAAACCTATCACATAAACATGTATCTCTATCCAACACAATTCAATAAATGAGACAATGCTACTGCAAACTGAAGACTCCCCTAACAAATTGGTGCCAATAAGGTCTTCATTTTATTATTGTTCTTATTTTGCTTGCATTATTGAGAGACTGCATTAATATGATTAACCAATTCAATTGTAAATGAAGCAAATAAATTTTGAATTGATTTATTTTGAAATTGTTTAAATTTTCTACTGAGTTTTATTAGGGGACTCATGGTTAACATAAACTGGCTTCCACCTGAATATTAGCTTTGGGTCCCCTTCAAATGTTTCTTTTCCCAAATCTATAAAGAAAAAAAATTGTTTGTATTTAGACAAGAATCACAAGCATTATTGTTCCTTGTTGAAAGAAGGAACTTTGACTGTATTTTTCTCATAAATTAGTCATCTACAGTGTGATTACAAATATATCCAAAGAACAACAAATCCAGAGACTTGTACAAGTTTCCATGCCATCTGCTGGTGAATGTGATTGATGTCTGTATAAAGTACTTTAAAATGTATTTTATATGTAAAATCTTTAATTAAGAAATTTACATAGTGAGTCCTACAAACAATCAAATTAATCTATACTTACAATTTATCATTTCCTAGTTTTCCTAGTTGGATGAGTCAGGATTGATTTTCTATCAAAAACCTCATGAAATATGCTTAAAATCTTTACTGTCAGGTCAATCATTTTGCAATCCAACATTCCTTGCTGAGCCTCCTAGAAGACTATAACTGTTAAATAATAATCTAGTGTTAGTGGAAATGCAGCACTTAACCAATTAAAGTATAAATCAGGAAAACAGAAAAAATTGAATTAATGGCACATTTAGAGTTCAGCTTAATATTAGAAAATTCAATTTCTATTGGTAAGGCTGCACTACAAGTCAATCTACATCTTTAAACATTATGCAAAGCAGCCACAACACAACTTTTAAGAGTCAATTCAATTCTAATTCCACATTTTCAATCACCAGCAACAAAGCAGAAAATGACATCTGAGCAATACCCACATTGATTGAGGCATTTGTTTTCTACGATTTAACTCTTTTGCAGGTTATTTAAAGTCAGAATAAAAATTTTGGGAGATAATGATTTAGTGATACAAGTCCTACTAATTAACCAATAGCTGAGGGGAGAAGAGATGGATTCATACCTTTCCAAAGTTTATTTGCATGTAAGTGAATATAACAAACCCAACTGAAATTGGTATCCAGCTATCAGATTTCCAAATCCCAAACCATTATCCACTACACCAACTGCACACCTAAACTTACAGCACCCGATATTCCCAAGCAGTCACCCACCTCAATACTGACCAGGCTCAACTTTGCTTAATTTTGGTGAATGTATGAGAACTGGAATTTCAACATAGTATGGCTGTAAGTCTGATAAAATAAAGGATTCAGTTTGAAAATCCCTGGAGGTTAGCCAGATTGAAGGCCAGAGGGTACAATGGCTGAAACATAACAAAGATGAGGACAAGAGATGGCATGTAAATAAAAATCAACAAAGCAGATAATGACATCTAAGCAAGACCCATATTGACTGATTTTATGGCTTATCAACCTTTTGTAGGTTATTTAAGGCCAGAATTTTTTTTTTTTTCTTAGAGGAGATAATGGTTTAGTGATAGATGTCTTACTAATTAACCTATAGCTGGGGGAGAAGAGGTGGATTTATACCTTTTCAAAGGGTATTTACATGTAAGTGAATATAACAAACAAAACTGGTATTGGAACCTGGCTCACCAATTAACAATTCTGAGGCATTATCTATTACACCACACACACACACACATCTAAGCTTCCAACATCAGACATTCCCAAGCAAGACCCACATAATTTGATTTTAGACATAACTGTGTAAAAGCAAATCTAATTCATGTTAATAAATTGAACAAATTTTTATATTAATAGATTCTTGCCAACTAACTAAATATTTCTATCATTCACAATAAGAATGAACAAGTCTTGGCTTTTCTGTAGATTTGATTATAATCAACTTTAAAGCAAAGTTCATGACTAATAAAAAACTTGCAATATCAGAAAGATTTTCAACAAAGTTTCAAGTCAAATGTTCACATCCCTATTTTGAAAACTGCCATCAACAGGAATTAATATGGCTCCTGATGATAATAATGTCAGTTATTTTCCTTTCAAAAATAAAAGATAAAAATTACATTAAAAAAAAAAAAAAAAATATTTTTCAATAAATTTTTTTTTTCTTTCAGATTCACTCCAAGCTCATTGAATGAATACTTTTTTTTAAACAAATTATAAATTCAAAAATTAATTTAGATACAAGGAATTATGAATTATAATATGCCTTTCTATTAAGGCTAGCATACTCATTTTGTCTGCTATAGTGATTTTCTAAGCACAGCTTAGATGTAACACAAAGCCAAAAATATTGGGCACCCAGTTAGGATCAAACTCACTATTCAGTCAGTCCTACTTGGTAAGCTTTGTGGAATTTTAAACTCAATCCTAGATTCGGACCTTTTATTGTTCCTCTTTGTCCAGGTTTTGCCAGCCATCAATACAAACTTGTCAAACAGGTTACTTGCTGCATCACCTTACTTCACCTGCATTCATTATGTCCTGCAAGTGTTAAATGTTTTCTAGTCTGTCTTCATTACATGTCACAGAAATTTCAACTGTTTCTTTCTAATCATAAGTTTGTTGTTCCCCTTTCTCTTGAGACTTATTTTGTAGGAACATTGCTATTATTATAAATAAAAATTATCAATAAAATAAAATTTAAACCTCATTTGTAATAAATTAAATAAATAAAATAAAAATAATAAAACTACTCCCAGCATGTGACAGAGACTGTACAGATATCCCACCAAAAGATATGAGATTCAGTCTCTTCAGGGTGACAACACATGTGTCACATTCCTCCATGATAGGACTTGTGATATTACAGAGTGACTTATATCCTTTTGTAACAGGAACATTATCAAAATTGTAATGTAAAACACACACACACACACAAATAAAATTGTATGAAATTACCATACAATTTACTATGTTTTTTTTTTTTTTATTTTTATTGTGTACGTTCATTTGTTCTGTTTTTCTTCATGGACACAAGCCCAAATTTTCCGACTCCTATGGTGTGAGCAAGTACCTCCACAATTCACAATAAATTGAAAAGATATTAGAAGCATTAACAAGTCTATGGAATTTCATTTCAAAGAAATGTTTGTCATAATTCATAAATAATGAAATTTTTATTTTTCATTAATAAAGCATGTTGTATATATTTTTAGAATCTTTTTTTCTTTAAACTCAAGTCAAAAGTAAAGTTAAAGAGAAAAACTAATTAAACATTAAAACCTTTTTTTGTGGGTGATGTATGTGCTATTTCCTTTCAGGATGTTGGCAATAATGGCTCTCCACAATTTCTTGTCTTTTACAGCACTTAATAAATTTTGTTCTTTTATCTTTCCTAAACCCTGTTCAGCCATCCATTTACTCAAGCTTGCTAAGTAGGTTATGCGTGGTTTTCCTCTATCCCTCTTGCGTTCAGTATGTTCTGGGAGTATCAGATTTTCCATGCCCCCTTTCCTCATTATGTGCCCTAGAAATTTCAATAGTCTCTTTCTGATAAGTTTCTTTTTTGTTTCTCTTTTCTCTAAAACTTTGAGAATAATAATCATGAAAAGTTTTTAAATTAACTTTAAAGTCTGTTTCAATGAATTGATTAAATGCTTTTTATCTTTCATTCTTACTGATTCTTTTGATTTGACATTTCTGGGTCTTTCACGTGGGTCAAAACGGAATAGTTGATTATTTATGATGTATTGGCAGGGTGTTATGCTTGTGAAAACTAGCTAAAGAATGGAATTAATAAGCAGAATTATTAATGATGATTTTAGATACAAGTTATTTTAAAGTATTTTGTACGTTTTTTAAGATATAAAAGAAAATTGTCGTAAAAGGATTGTTAGTTCATGGCAATATAACTTAAGAACTGATATTAACCATTATTTGAAATTTTTCCATGAAGAAGAATTATATAGTATTAAGTAATTACCAAGAAAGATTAATCTGGATGTCAGTCAAAAATCACAAATATACTTTATAGTTAATAAAGTGATCTGAATACTAAGATCAATCTTGTAAACAACATGCTGGAAAGAAAGGGTAGATTTAACTGGATTTGATAATTCTAGTTCGTCGTAGGAGTGGCTACATTGGGATGAATGGATTGTGAGGTGAAGTGATTTTTTCTTTTTCTTCATTGCTTTTTGCAAACATCACGAGTGGGTAGCACTGCCCTATTTCACAAGTGTAAAATCTAAAAATAGGCTGAAGAGAATCTATCTTGGCATCTGGCTATTGTAAAAGGAGAAACAAAAAATGAGTGAAAATAACAGATGAGAAGTTGTGTTCAGTTGATTTCAATTAGGGTAGGTAAATAGAAAAATAAAATAGAGTATGCAGTGGGTTGTTGGTGTGTAAAAAGCATTTTTCTTTTTCACTGACTCACCCAGGAAAATCAACCTACAAATAATCTGTTTTACTTTTGTGATATTTTGTTCATAAATTCTCATGTCAAAACTTGAAAGAAAAATCCCATTACTTGTATTATCAATTATTATATGATTATTAATTTGTGTCATCAAAAATACAGGAGGATTTCAGCTTTTGTTTATTAAAATGGAGACGGGGATAGAATTAACTGGCTACCAATTGAATAGTGTTTTAGACTTAACTACAAATGATACAAATTGCCTGTCCTAGTACTAAAAGATGTGGGATACATAAACTTTAAATAAATATAGGTTCTTTCAAAAATTTAAAAAAAAAAAAAAAAAAAACTGTATACCATGATGAAAAAAAGGCACCAAACTTGATAAAAAATAAAGTTTTATTGTCAAAATGTTTGTTAAAGAGAGGAAAAACCTAAGTATTTTTTTATTATATTTTTTAATCCTTTGTGACAATTTTCTTGTCAACAGGTGGGCCAAAGATTAGTATAGAGATTTTTAGTCTTTTTTTTTTTTTTTAGCATTAAAAAACACATTATTTTGGGAATTTCTGCAAAAATCAAATATTATGAAGTTGATGTTTGAAATCAGATTTCCTAATTGAAATCTGACATTTGTTATTTTCAGGTCATTTCTTTATTTTGTGATCAACTAATGCTTATTATTTTTTGTTTGTTTTGTTTTTCTATTTTTGTAAAGTGGGAATGTGAACGTGGGAGGAAAAACTCTTCTGTGACACCTGATCAAGAAAATACTTAAAAGTAAAGAAAAAAAAAAGGAGGGAGGGGGGTAATCTGAAAGTAAGGTCTACTTACTTCCACAAAACAAGGAGCATAATAGTACTGTTTAACAGAGCAATTTTTCAGCTACAAAACAGGATTTTTCCACAGTGACATAAGCATTGGTTATGCATTCCAGCAATGAAGGAAAATCTGCATATTTTTCTACATGGAGAAATTCAGTGACACACATCTAATTCAAATGCACTTTTCTATCAAACTCCTCTGTAATAAAGCAAAAATGCTATCAAAATAAAAATAGGTCAAAGTGATTGCACATGTATATGCATGAAAGGGGAGGTAGTGTACCAGTTACTGACATAGAAAGTGGAGTCAGCATGCCAAGTCCAAGTTTGGGCTGATTCTGTTTTGTTAACTTCACACTGATAGCCTTAGAAAAATAAGGCATGAATCCATCCAGCTATGGAGGAAATAACAGCATAACTTGCCTTGGGTGACAGCCAGTCTAAAAAAAAAAAAAAAAGAAAAATTCTGAATTCAAACCTGATGACGGCTAGTTGTAGACACTGTGCACCATTTCTCCATTATCAGATCTTCTGCCAAGTGTGGCTGGTTCCATACAAGCTTCCATCAAAATCAAATCATCTGTGTAGATATTTCAGTTCTAACTGAACTGTTAGGCCCTGATATGTTGAAATTGACAGCAAGTTCTAACCCACACAAACATCATTTTATATGTAAGTAAAGAAAGATTAATAGTAAAGAAACACTACAACCCAAATTGTGGCAAACAACTAGCCCAAAACTATCAGATCCCTTCAGTAATAGAACACAACCTCCAGAAAAGAAAATCCCACGTCATTTTTCATATCATTGAGAAAGGACACAAAAATGTCTCAAAATTCAGATTTTCCATATCTCTTTCATCATGCTTCTATTTGGTCAAAAGGCTGAATAATATAGAATAAATATTATTAGTTTTATTATCATCAATCAACATTATTTTTATTTTTTATTTCTCAATTTTCTTTCACAAGCCTATACATACATTATATATATATATATATATATAATCTGGTTTGAAGATTTGCATTCAAGTATGAAACAGCTTGGTGTTGACCTCATTGTCCACTTATATATATAT